ACAGATTCACGGCTCTTGAGCAGTGCTTTACCGGTGAGTGTTGGTCGAATACTGTCACTAGCATAAAATACTAATGAAAATGCATATTGTATATTTTTTTATGTGTATATGTATTAAATCAATACAAGTGGCAATGCTTTAACAGACATGTTTGACTGCTTGTATTTAATTACATTCGTCATAAAATCACGACAGGTGATTTTATGATATATAGCTCAGTTTGAATGCAGACTATTCCTTCAAAGCAAAATATATTTTAAAAGTCCTGCTTACATTTTTTTACATATCATAATTTCTATTTTAGTTACAAGTTTGTTATGCTCACTTTTATTACAGACGCAATTCATTGACCTCCAGCATCCAGCCCTGCATTGACCTTCGGCATCCAGCCCTTCATTGACCTTTGGCATCCAGCCCCTCATTGACATTCGGCGTCCAGCCCTTCCTTGACCTTCGGCGTCCAGCCCTCATTGACCTCATCGTGAGTGTGGTAGATCATGTTCTTTGTCGTATGTGGTCCTCTTTAATATTATGTGTTAGTGGCCTCCACCAGCCAGACATCTGGAGTAATTCACAATGTATTGTCTTTCTCAGGTTTTGTGACCAAGATCTCCAAGACAGGCTCATCGAAATTTTCAGTGTTGCAGTTATAAACAGCCTATTTTTGTTTAAATAATTTGTATTGTTATTAACATATTTTGTGAGTTTCTCTGTCTAGGTATCCTTCCCAGCTTCACCAGATTTTCACGGTAAGTTAGAGTAGACAAGAATGTACACTATACAAAGGACGTTAAATTGGAAAAGCACACCTGTCGGTCAAGTAACAAACTCTTAACTTTTACCCCAAATTGTAGGCCAACGTGCGACGACCAAGGCAGGACCACCTGTGACAAGGACAACCAGGGTCCAGTCAAATCTTCTTCTATCTTGGTGAGTATGTTGGATTCATAGCTTTATAACTATCCACCTTACTGTACTGTTTTGCTTCTTTCCCACTTACATTCCTGTTTTTGTTCATCCTATGATCATCATCTACAGACGGGAGAAACTCGGTTGAAGGTATTGTATTATGTATTTAAATTAAGATTTATATTTAATTTAAATTTTGTTACGAGACAATTGTTTTTGATTCCCAAATTGTTTCAGAGATGCCGAGGAAGGGCAAGAGATCACAGGCACAAAAAGTGCGCTGGTCAAAGCTCGACCTGGCAGATCCAGCCACAGTCAGCNAAGTCCGGGATTTCATTAAAGTACAGCAAGGTGGGAAACTTACCCCCCTAGAGGACTCTGAGATAGACAGTATGATGCGAGACAAGCATAACTCTAAAGGCTTTTTATCCTATGCTTACAACAGACTAATRRGCCTGTCAGAAAATACAGCTTTGAAGGCAAAACTTAAGTGGGAAACAGACATTGATTATGCCTTTGAGGACTCTGAATGGAAGAAGATTTGTAGTAGCTCTCAATCATTCTCCTATAAYAGCCGACACAAATTATTACAGTTTAATCTTATACACAGGGTTTACTTGACTCCTCATCGTCTCCATAAGATAAGTAGTAACTACTCTGAATACTGCCCTAGGTGTAAGACTGAAATAGGATCCCTTCTCCACATGTTCTGGACGTGTGAYTGTTTGGAGCAGTACTGGAGCTCTATCTTGGACATTGTTAAAAGAATTGTAGGGGTGGAAATCCCRGCCAATCCACGGCTGACACTRTTGGGGGACCTGTCGATTTTACCAATTGATATGAGAATCAACACTCGTTTTATCAGATTAGCCCTGATTGCAGCTAACAAATGCATAGCTATCAACTGGAAAAGTGAGGACCCCCCTGGTGTTTCCTTGTGGCTTAAAGAGCTCTCATCATATTTACCATCAGAAAAGATTTTGTGTGGTCTCAGGGGGAGGCCATCAGTTTTTGATAGGTGTTGGGGAGGATTTCTGGCATTCCTACACAGTGGAGCTGCTCCGGGGCCTGACACGGGTGGTCAACATTGAGATAGGGCTGGATACACTGAATGGGACTGTTGTTATGTTGTTACACTGTGTGTGATCTGGATTTTGTTGTGGTTTATTTTTGTTTATTTATTGTATTTTTTTGTTTTTGTTGTTTTTTTGTTTGTTTTTTGTGTTTTTTTTGTTTTTGTTTGTTTTTTGTTTTTATCTTTTTTTTGTTTTTATCTTTTTTTTGTTTTGATTTGTCAGTATCATCTTCGCTGATGTTGTTGTTATTTTATTTTATTTTGTTGCTGTGGTTATTGCTGTTGTCCTTTTTCGTTCCACTCTGGCCCATGGGGTGGGGGTGGGGGGGGGGCAGGGATTTGATGCCCTGTATCACTGTTGTTTGTTTGAAAAATTGAAATAAATAAATTGTTCAAAAAAAATAATATTATGTGTTACTGGCCTCCACCAGCCAGACATCTGGAGTAATTCACAATGTATTGTCTTTCGCAGGTTTTGTGACCAAGATCTTCAAGACAGGCTCATCGAAATTTTCAGTGTTGCAGTTATAAACAGCATATTTTTGTTTAAATATTTTGTATTGTTATTAACATATTTTGTGAGTTTCTCTGTCTAGGTATCCTTCCCAGCTTCACCAGATTTTCACGGTAAGTTAGAGTGGACAAGAATGTACAATATTGGAAATTGGAAAAGCACACCTGTTGGTCAAGTTACACAAACTCTTAACTTTTACCCCAAATTGTAGGCCAACGTGCGACGACCAAGGCAGGACCACMTGTGACGAGGACAACCAGGGTCCAGTCAAATCTTCTATCTTGGTGAGTATGTTGGATTCATAGCTTTATAACTATCCACCTTACTGTTCTGTTTTGCTTCTTTCCCACTTACATTCCTTTTTTTGTTCATCCTATGATCATCATCTACTGGCCACAGACGGGAGAAACTTGGTTGAAGGTATTGTATTATGTATTTAAATCAAGATTTATATTCAATTTAAATTTTGTTACAAGACAATTAGTTTTTGATTCCCAAATTGTTTCAGAGATGCCGAGGAAGGGCAAGAGATCACAGGCACAAAAAGTGCGCTGSTCAAAGCTCGACCTGGCAGATCCAACCCCAGTCAGCCCACCCGGTCTTGGCCGAGAGGTACCTAAACAATAAATATATAGCTGAATTTGACAGCATTATCCTCATGTAATGTAAAGATAATGTATTTGTATCAATTGATAAGTTTCATGTATCATCAGGTTCCCAAAGTACAGACCTCTCCACAGCCAAGAAATGTYTGGAGGACGGATGGACCCACTGGCTCCCATTCTCCAGCTAAAAAGGTGGGCTTKTATATCTCCCACACTTTCCATACAACATGCAGTCTTGAACTTGGTATTTAGTTATCAGATGACTGAAACCACAGAACCCACCACCATCAATACACTCACTCACTCACAATTACGCACACCCACACTGTCTCTGTCTCTTCGGTATATCTATACAATACACAATGTCTTGAGTTTCACATACTTAGTATTATTTTTTTCCTCAGATGGCAGAGACGCCTCCACCAGCCAGACATTTCTGGTCAAAGGACAATTCGCACACCCCTGTGAATTCTCCACCTGCAAAGGTATGGATTTGTGACACATTGGAGATATGGGATGAAACCAGACTCCGTTATAATTTTACGAGTTATAACGAGTTAAGTAGTCGTAAATACTTGATTTCCAGATACATTATTTATGTTTTAGAATTAAAAAGTGACTGCTATGTTTGAAAAAAAGTCATTAATCAATCAAATTTAATTTCATGTCATCAGGTTTCCAAAATACAGACTCCTCCCCAACCAAGACATTTTTGGAGGACAGATGCACCTACTGGCTCCTATTCTCCTAAACAGGTAGGCTTTTTATTCTCCACACTGTGGAACATCTATACAATACACTGTGTGTCATGAAGTTGGTATTGTGTTATTAGATGGCACTTAGATGGCCAAAKTGGACACACAGATATKACCTGAACCCAGAATCTGTTCARTCTGATTTTACTGAGTCAACTAGTCATAAATACCTGATTTGCAGAGACAAATATGTTTAATAATTATCAAGTGATTGTTTTGTTTGACATGAAGCCAAACATGACATTTAATTTTACATCATCAGCTTCCCAAAGAACAAAACCCTCCAAAGCCAGGAAATGTGTGGAAGATGGCTACACCCAGTGGCTCCTGTTCTTCAGATATGAAGTTAGGGTTTGTTATTTCTCTCCACAATTAATACACAGGATACACCTAAAACATTGCATGTGTTCAACTTAAAATAAATATATAATTCTTTCTAAATATTCATGACAAAAAAAAATCACAACCCTTAAAGTGTACTCTTAACAGTGCTCTGTCTCAAATTTGCACTTGCCAATGTATTAGCATAGAGATGGGCCTTTTTTAAATGCGTAGGAGGTCCAGCTAAACAGGTTGTAGAAAGCTTTCATTTTGTGTGCGTGTGTATCAGGACAAACCCCATAAATTGAATATTAATAATAATCCTTTATACCATACTTTGTTTAGCTTCAGCCCTGGGCAGATGAAGACCCACTGTTTGAGAGCACAAACAAAGAGAGAGGGACCATKTGGACGGTGAGGGCAACTCATAGTCAGARTGATGGTCGGTACAACACATTCTCCAGGAATCATCAGTGCACCTGTATGGCACTGACATTTTTGGCTTACCACAACGAAGGATTGCGATTCAACAGAGACAAC